GAGAGAGAGAGAGAGAGAGAGAGAGAGAGAGAGAGAGAGAGAGAGAGAGAGAGAAACAAGACAGACTACCGTAGCTACAGTGAGGCAGGAAGAGAGTGGACATATAGGATCCAGATGTATAGGCTGAGTACATCTAATTGGAACGATACAGAGAAGATTCGCAAGCCAGTGCAGTGCGCAAGGAAGACGCGCGAAATCGAGAAACGGTCCATTACAGGGAAAAGACAACGATCACCAGAACGCGCAGTTGGCCCCAGGGAGGGGTGGCGAAACACATAGATCAAGTAAGCGGATACCCAGCGGATCACACCAGAGAGAGCGATCGCCCTCAACAGGAGGAAATAAGGGTAGGGTACATAATAAAAGCACTGCCCGGCCATGCGAGAAACTAAGAGCACTGCACTCCCTGACCGGGTACATAATAAAAGCACTGCCCGGCCGTGCGAGAAATTAAGAGCACTGCACTGCCTGACCGTGCGATGGGAGAAACTAAGTAAGTGGTTGGTAACTGGCACGACTACGGGCGTTGCTGCACGGCACACGAAACGAAAAACGAAACGAATGTATCTTTCCGAAATGACCAGGTTCATCGGTTTGCTATTTATAGTTACGAGTGTATTTTGCCACCTTTTGGTGGGCAGATGCACTCGTTTCGTTTTCGTTTCGTGTGCCGCGCGGCGAGACCCTACTACAGTAGTAGTTCCAGAGTGAAACGATCTGTGACAGTTACGTTCAGGCCCCATCAATGGCATCGCATATTTTCAGTAATCTCGCCTCCGGGGAAGCTGATAGGCGAGTAATGGATTCCTTACTTTTTCCCCCCCAAAAAAAAGAAAGATCGGCGAGACCACTCCCCTCTCTAGCGAAGCGGCGTGTATGTATACATCCCTGAAATACACTGATATGCATCGATATTCGCCGAACACCACAAATCGACTGGATATGATGTGAAGAGGGTACTCTACCGATGTTGGTGTAGGCCAACTGAAAAGTACTCCAAATTCAGTGAGTTTTCGCGCTCCGAAGAATGCACCAAAAAAACAGAAAATTGGAGTACTAGTAGATTTTGTTGTGATCTTTCCAGGAAAAACGCTCAATAAATTTTAAAAATCACTCCAACTGTGAAATAGATCGCGGCCGCAATTTGACCCATATTTCAATTTTGCCATTCAGCCTCTCCCTCACTCTCTCTCTCTCTCTCTCTCTCTCTCTCTCTCTCTCTC